GTGGATGGAGGGATGGGTGGATGGATGGATGGATGAGTGGGTGGATGGGTGGATGAATGAGTGGGTGGGTGGATGGGTGAGTGGATGGAGGGATGAATGAGTGGACAGATGGATGGATGAGTGGGTGGATGGATGGATGGATGTGTGGGAGGATGGATGGATGAGTAGATGAGTGGACTAGATTGGTGGATGTATGGGTGGGTGGGTGGATTGATGAATGAATGGATGAGAAGTAGCAGGGGGTAGATAGGTAGATAGTGGGTGGATGGTGGATGGGTGTGTGGGTAGATGGATGGATGGATGGATGGGTGCGTAGACAGACAGATATCCTACTGGTCCCACTGCTCTAGTTAAACCCTGCTACATTAGGTGGCCAAAAGGACAAAAGAGTAGACCTGAGTCGGGGGACAGATCATATGTAGCACAGGACAGTTCTTCAGGTAGGCGGCCAGAGAAAGTGTACGGTATGGACGGAGGGAATGTGGGTGGGAGCTGCCAGGATGCCTGGGAAGGTGCTTTAGGTGCTCCAGGGAGCAGAGGCTGAGACGGAGTGGGCTTGGTATGTTCCAGGCACCAAGGGCGTCGGTGTCTGGAGGAGTGGGGAGATGCAGACGGGGAGACCCAGGAGTCTTTCTCGGCCACCCTAAGACCTCGAGTCTTATTCTCAGTGTGGAGGGAGCTGTGGGAGGTTTGAGTGGTCCCTCCATCAGGTTTGCAGCCTGAAGATGCCCTTCAGGCCAGGGTGGATGAGAGGCCGCAGGGCAAGAGTAGCAGCAGAGGAGGAGGTGCAGGCTAGAGCAGAGACGGACTCCACAGTGCTCTCTACACACTGTGGGGCGGGGTGGGGGACAGGGTCTGGCTGGCTTGGGCCGGCTGTGGTGAGAGGCCACGGGACATGGGGTCAGGCAGTGGCGCAGAAGAGGAGGAATGCGGAGTCGGGGTCACTGCTGGCCTGGGAGAGACTGTCCAGGGAAGGAGGGCACCAGCCACCAGCCGCCCCCACCACAGTGCCTGGCCTGCCCCGCTCTGATCCTGACCCAAGTTCACTGCATCTTCCGAGCCCAGGACAAGGCTCCCCTCGGGCCCTCTGAAACAGCTTGTCCTCAGGATGTCACCTGGGCCCCTGGAGTTCAGAGCTGCCCCATCCCAGCCCAGGGCTGAGCACGCAGGCTTCTCGAGGGCTGGGTCAGCCTCCCCTGCCTGCCCCTCCTCCCTGGGCCTGTGTCCGGGAGGCAGTCAACCGGGAGAGCAGCACCGTGGGAACCTCCTCGGGGACGGGCACAGGTCTCCTGAGGAAGTCACCCAACCTTACACTCCCACCCTGAACTCTGGGTTCCTAAGATCCCATCATCAAGGGGTAATGTGCCAGCCCTGAGGGGCAAGCTCCCCCGCCGGTGCCATGCAGCGGTCTGTGGTGCACACGGCATCCCTCACGCTGTGGTAACTCCTCTATTCTTTATACCAAATTAACAATTCTTTATACTAGGTCAACTATGCTACTACTCTTTATGCCTAGTGAACAGTTCTTTATACTGGGTTAACTATTGTTCACACCAAGTTAGCCGTACCTTACGCCTAGTTAATAATTTTTTAAGCCGAGTGGAGTACCCTTTACCCTGACCGAGTCAACTATGCTTTATGCTGAATTAACTGATCTACAGATTTTGTCCCGTGTCCCAGTTGCCACTGGGATCCCGGCTGGCAGCACCCCTCCCCCACCCCCCCCCTTGCCCTCTACACGTGAGTGTCTGAGACCCTCTGAGTAGCCAGAGGTGACCCTCATGATTTTGTAAAAATGCTGAAAACAAGAAAAATGGCAAAGCTGTTATTAGGGATACAGAAAATTCCAGTGCTCTGCCCCGAGAAACTCAGTGACTTAATTCCGCCAATCGTGGGTCACTTGTGAGTAGAATGAGAGGAACGAATACCTATAAAACCTCGAAAGCATAAGATCAAGTTCCAAGAGAGGGGAGGAGGCCGGAGACTGGAGACCCCAGAGAGGGCTCTGACCAAAGGAAGCATGAAGGCGGTCAGCCAAGCGGCCAGCGGCTGCGGCAGGGACAGCGCTCGCCGATCCTGAGCACGCGAGGCAGCCGGGAAACAACGTCCTCTTAGAAAAATTCAATTATTGTGATGCGTCCAGCCTGGCCAGCATCCCAACCTCACCCCAAACGCCTGCAAAACCCCATCCCAGTGTGCACTCTCCGAGAAAACTCCTCACACTTACGGGGAGCTAGAATCTGTGAAAGGACTTGATGTTACAAGGATAGGGACGCCTGGGGGGGCTCGGTCGGCCGTGTGTGTGACTTCGGCTCAGGTCACCATCTCGCGGTTCCTGAGTCCCAGCCCCACATCGGGCTCACTGCTGTCCGCGCAGAGCCCACTTCAGATCCTCTGTCCCCCCATCTCTGCCCCACCCTGCTCGTGCTTTCTCAAAAATAAATAAAATAAATAAACAAAAAAGAACGTCATACGGACTGCGTTTAGTCACTTACCCGTAGGGAGGGATTATTCTTCGGGTTCAGGGCTTAAAAGGAGACAGCTGGTCCGAAACCAAACTAAGCACCATTCTTCAGCTCTGCGAGCAGAAAACCCATCAAGTACGGGAGGCTGCGCTGGCGCCCCCAGGCTCCTCCGTGGGGTTGGCGTCTGCTCTGTGCGGGAGGGATCCACACTGGAGCCTCCTCTCGGCTCCCAGGAGAAGCGGCAGAGATGGTGGGATGGAATCGCTCGCGGGATCGCAGCTCCTGACCCCGGACGTGCCAGATGTGGCCCCGGGGAGGGGAGGGGCACACCCAGGCCCTGCGCACTGACCGACTCCCAGCAGTGGCAGCGAGGAGAGGTGACGGTGTCACGTCCCCGTCAGGCTGGCTGCCCTGCTCCTGCCCACCGGGGCCGGAGGCACAGGGAGAGCCCTGCCAGCAGGGACACGTCTCACGATTGGAGGCACCAGACGCACTGCCATCCACCCAACGTAGCAGCTGGGGCCACAAGTCCACGCAGCTCGAGCCACTTTTACACTTGGGCAGATCCTCTGGACTCCAAGACCATTTTGGGGGCTGGGTCCCCAGCAGAGTGCGTGGGACTGGGGATGAGGGGCATGGCAAGACTGTGCCCTCACCCGCTCCCAGCAACCCACGCGGGGAGTCAGTGCCCCCTGCCCCCAGCGGGCTTGGCCAGACACTTTTGTACCAGGGGCCCTGTAAGCCCCAAAGTTGTGGCTGCCGCCAGATCCCTTGGCTCTTTGAAGCGAACACGTGGCCAGAGACGGCTCTCCGGTGGCAGCGATGACCGTGAGACATGCAGGTATCTGCTAAGTGCCGGCCGCCGTGAGTTTGTCTACGAGTCCCAGGCCTCACCGGCGCCTGCTGGTCCCGGTGGGGTAGACGCCAAGAACCGCCACCGAATCAGCCACGGCCTGACCGGGATGAGGTCGCCGGGGTCAGTGGCCTGCACAGCAGGGCAGTCGGGAGGACACTGGGGCGGCAGTGTGGCGGAAAGGGGGGTGCGGATGGGCGGAGGGGGCAGGGAGCCCCAGACCTCCTGTAGCAGCGGACCCGACCCAGCAGCCACGTCGACGCCAGCACCCCAGCGTGGCCAGGGCTCAGCCTGTCCGTCCCCGACCGCACCACACGCACAGGCACGCAGCCTGACAACTGCTCAGAGTAACCTACTTTCAGGTGAGGACTGGGCAAAGTCACACGGGGCCGCTTACCTCCAGCCTGCGAAATGGCACAGATTCCTCGAGGGGGCTGTCCTCTGTCTGGAGGGTAATGGGCAGATCCTGCCAACACTTTCGTAAGCATCACAGATGCCGTGATCCAGAGTTCTGCTCCTGGAAACTGACCCACAGCTCACACAAAGCAGCACGGACAGACAGGAATGGAAACAGCCAGCACCTGCCAAGCAGACAGTGGGACGAGGCGCTCCGAGGCCCCTGGGGAGGCAGCGGCCACGTGCACGGATCCACGTGCTGACGGAGCAGACCAGGAGCCCCGTGACGCAGACTGGCTCTGGAAGGACACCGAGAGCCAGTTGGTGGGACGTGGCCACCGATCACCCATCCAATCGTGGTGTTTATTTTTTATTAAAAAAAAAATGAACGTTTATTTTTGAGAGAGAGAGAGAAAGAGCACGAGTGGGGAAGCAAGCGGCAGAAAGAGACAGACACAGAGTCCGAAGCAGGCTCCAGGCTCTGAGCTGTCGGCACAGAGCCCAATGAGTGGCTCGAACTCATGAAATGGGAGATCATGACCTGAGCCGAAGTCAGATGCTAAACCGACTGAGCCACGCAGGCGCCTCCTCAAATGTTTTTGACGAGTGCAAGACCAGTGAGTTTCCCAAGTGGACTGGACACCTAGGGACGTGCCAGGCACGGGGACACCCCAGGACTACATCTCGACCTCACACTCCCCCGTTCTAGACTTCCCAGAAGAGCCTGGAGTTGCCCTGTGGCTGAGCGTGGCTGTGGCACAGCAACATGGGTGGGCTCACACTTCCCACAGGGACCACGGCCCTGGTGGACACGTCACCTGCACAACATTGACTTCGCAGCACAGAGGAACTCCCAGAGGCTCAGCCAGCCCAGCAGCAACTCAGAAGGGGGGTGGGTGCTCCCCAGTAGCCGGGCAGTGAGGAAGCCCCACTGCCGGGGAAGGGAAGGAGGGAGGGATTCTATCGACAGCCCAGCCAAGTACACGAAGCTCAAAGCCAGAAGTGCTTTCTCCCAGAGTTCTTTGCATCTGATTCCAGCAGAGCAGAAGGAAGGTGCTGGTGGGGCGGGGCAGAAAACCTGCCTCGTGGACAGCAGACAGCTGGGGGTGGCCGGCAGGGGAGGGGGAGGACAACCCGGGGACACAGCACGGCCGCCCCCTGGGCCATGGCACCGAAGCCGGGATTGCTCACAGATCCTGGGGCGGGCCAGAATCTCTCTGTAGTCTACCTGCCGCCCTCCAGGTGATCATGCTAACGCCACGGAGAAATGAGACACGAGGACACAGTGGATTCAACAAAGCGTGTATTAAACCACTTATTGGAAACTGGTTAAGATTAAGGCACTCTGAACTTGACGGTCTCCTTGAGGTTACAACACGTGGTGCTCTTAGGACTACTTATAAAATGCGGGGACCAGGACAGCCTCCCAGACGCACTGGTGTGGCCTCGGTACCCCGAAGGGACTAAATGCGCTGTATGAACAGGGCACAGCCCCAACCGTTCAGGACACAGCGTGACCTCACGTACATTACTGTATTAACACAAAGGCTGCTGGAGTCTGCTACAGAGTTTTTCTTATGAATAAAAGTAGAATGTCAAAATCTGCAGGCTGCTATAAAATACTTAGGAATGTTTCGTAATACTTCAAATTGCTATCAAATGCCCAAGAAGTCAGAAAGAGATAGTCAAGAGTTTGTACAGTTAGTGTCTCAGCTTATAGACATTGCAGGACAGCGCGGTCACCTCACGGCACAGGCCGACGTGGCTTGGGGGGGGGGCGGGGGGGCTGTCGAGCGGTGTGGGGTGTTGGATCACACTGACCTGTATTGAGAACTTTCCGTGACACGTTGGAGAGCAGTCCCCGACGGCACAGTCACGAGTGCGAAAGCGGAACACATCATTTGTCTTTGCACCTGTCGACCCACCTCCCCGAAGCTAAACGTCTTCCTAATCCAAAGCAATGTGGCGGTGGCCACCGGGACTATTTTCAGAGTGAAGAGAGGCAGTTCACACAGCTACTCCACGGTCTGCATCCCCAATAGGAAGGATGTGGTCATTTACTGAAGCCACAGATCTTGCTCTGAAAGGCCTGGGGCCAACGGAAGGCACCGCAGGGTGTACCCGGAGGCCACGGACAGCGTCCCAGCCAGAAGAGCGCGGTTCCAAGCTAGGGGTCGTGTGACAAGCAGGACAGTCAGCAGTGTCCCCGTGTAGCACGTGGAAATCCCTCTGGCCGGCCCTGGACACCCTGCCCGACCCCCCAGTGGGCAGAGCCCCGCAGAGGGGCCCACGGGGCATGGTCCCTTCCTCCTCGGGGACAGCCTGGGGACCCCGTGGTCCCTGTGTGACCATGTTGCTGACAGCCTAACTAGGGAGAGCCTGGTGTGGCTACACACAGAACCCGGCGCCGGCCGTCACCAGGGCTGAAAAGGGAGCGGGGCAGTGATGGCCCCTCCAGGCCCACGGCCCAGAGCACCTGCTGCTGCCCCTGCAGGGGGCTCTAATGCTTCATCTGTTATTCAAGTTTTCACTGGAAAAAAATCTTGGTGTTCCGGTAAAAATACAAATTAAAATTTAAAAATTGTCCAGTAAGCGGTCTGAATTTTGACAGAAAAATTTCTTGGTGAAACACCTTTGGTGGAGGAATGAAATCCAAGACTTATTTGAAACGGAATGAAACGGAACAGAACAAAACACAGATTTAAGGTGAATCTAAGTTCTCCCGGACGCTGCTCAGAGCGGCTGGGGTCAGAAGGCACGGCCCGGCAGACTGCGTCTGGGTGCCCGGCTCCCCGGGGGGCTGCCACGCAGGGCGCACAGCCGCCGGCCGGGTGATGGAGGGCGGCGGGGTGACAGGGGCCCTTCCTCCCCCGCCGTGCGCGCACAGCGCGCCATCGGGTACAGGGACGCGAGGACAGAAGGCGGGACGGAGGCCGGCTGCCCTGTCCGCGGTTGGCTTCGCCAGCGGAGAAGGGTAGCAGGATGTGGGCTTTGCCTCCTGGAAGTAACAACACAACCGACCGACCCCCCTGAAAAGCTTCGTGTCTGCAGTGACTAAATACAGATACAGAAGAGGGAACAGAAGCCCGCGGGTCTGCAGGGCGGCGGCGCCGTGCTCCTGGAGCCGTGCGGGGACTGCTGGGCACGTGGCTCAGTTGTTCTCAAACCTGGCATACGGGTTTTCCTCTTTAAACAGACCTGGAACAAAACAGACCTGGTTATAAATGTGCTGACACGGCAGGAAACGAAGTCCAAGGACACAACACAATTCAGTGTTTCGTGAACACTGTGGCTCTAAGAAAAAGGGTGTTCCGAGCAGGTTCAAGCACCACGCTTCACCTTTTTTTTTTTTTTGTAACTATTTCTACTTATTTACCTATTTTGCGAGAGAGAGAGAATCCCAAGGAGGGGCTCGATCCCACAAACCGTGAGATCATGACCTGAGATCAAGAGCCAGATGTTTAACCGACTGAGCCACCCGGGCGCCCCTACGCTTAACCTTTTTGAAAGTCAAACCACAGGTGACTTTAAAATTGAAATAAAATTTACCAGAAACAATCATTCTAAGAAAAGCAAACCTAAAGAAATAAAAACTTATTGGCTGATTCTCTCTAAGAGGAATTAAGAAACAGCCATTATTTCTCCCCACAGCAATTGGCTAATATACAGAAATTAACAAAGCACCCTAAATGTCCTTAGAATTAAGGCTACGAAACAACGAGGTGACTGTCCACTTCACCACCACCAAGTGCTCTGACGTGGCTAATATAACGCAGTTGTAAAAATAAATCTCTGGTGCTAAACGCTCAGGCCTAGGAGTTTTCTCTTTGCAGTTCTGAACACACAGCCTCTCCCTCTCTTTAAAAACCTGTATCGCCACACTTTTCTGGAGCCGCTGCACCAAGTGTATGCGCTACGGGGGGGGGGGGGGACCCCGGGGGGGGGGGGCCGCCGCCGGGGGGGGGGGGGGAGGGTGGCCCGTCTGAGAAGGACCGCCGCCTCGGCCTTGGGAGGAAGCCCACAGTGGTTCTGGTAAAGGGAGTCCGTGTGCCAGATGCCGAACACAGTCGTGTTGGAGCAGGACGAATGGAAGAGCTCCCAGCTCTACTTCTGGTTTAAAGGGGGGAGACTGTGTTGTGATTAGGAAACCAGACGGCTTCTGAAACCAAGAGAAGGGTTTCCTCCATGCAAGTACGCGTGCCTGGCCCGTCTCCCCCCTGGGGACCCCCCCGGGATCTTCCACGCGGCTGGGTCTTTGCAAAGTCCAGTCCATTAGGTGGGCTTTATGTAAACAGGCACAAGCTGGCTTCCTCAGGGCGGCTCAGGGCCTGGCGCACCACCAAAACGGAGGAGTGAAGGGCCTCGCTGAAGGTCACGGAGAACGCCCTGCGCCAGGAGCCCCGGCCCGAGGCGCCACCCGGCCTCGCACACACGGGGCAGGTGGGACACTGCAGCGGGGGCAGACTTCAGATGCTACTTGTGCTTGGCGATAAGGGCGCCGCGGTGGAGTCTGTGTGTGAGTGCACGCGAACACGTCTCCCTCGCCGTTCACGGAAACGTCAGTCGGGTGCCAACAAGCTCCTTTCAACCCTTCAGTATCGTGAAGCAAGGTGCCCGTGCCAAGGACAGCTGGCGTTCACTGGGCACGAACGTGCGCCTGGAAGAGGCACCGGGGACAGACGGCACCGTGCCGACACGACCACTGACACGACGTCACCCACACGGGAGTCCGCCCTTGCCTAGGCTGGGGACCTGACACCGGGTGAGTGCTGTGGGCACCGGGGACCTGATGGGCCAGCTGGCAGAGGAAGCCGAGGGGCGGGAGCACACAAGGGAAGGCTCTAGCAGCTGCTGAACATCTCACCTGCAACCAAGGAGACCCAACGGCAGGGGGAGAGGCGGTCAGGGCAGCCTCGGGCCCCGGAACCCACACCTGGCGGCTGGCAGGGTCGACCCGAGCCTGAGGCGACACGCACAAGGGCGTGACAGTCAGAGGAGGCCTGCGTGGACGGAGGGGCCAGCCGGTGCTGGGTGGGGGTGCCGAGTCAACCGCACGGCCAGCAGCCCACCAGAGGGAGCCGAGGCTCCAGGACCCACTGCTTTAGTGCACAGGACCTGAAAACACCACGAGAACAGGGTGTTCCCTGTACAGACACAGAACTCCAAAATGAGGGCGTTAGTTAGAAAAGATTTTGAGGGGCACAGTGGCTTGGACGGTTCAGCATCCAACTGTTGATTTCAGCTCAGGTCGTGATCTCAGGGCTGTGGGATCGAGCCCCACATTGGACTCTCCGGACAGTGCAGAACCTGCCTGGGATTTTCTCTCTCTCTCAAAACAAACTTTCCAATAAAAAAAAAAAAAAAGGAAAGAAAAGATTTTGCAATTTTCCTAATCAGATTCAGCCCAGAGCCCAGCTGCCAGGTGCACCCGACACACAGCAAACACTGCTCAGGCCATGAGGTCCACAAAAGCACCGCGGCCCAGAGCTGGAGGCCCCGTGGCAGTCATCGGCGAGAGCGCAGTGCGGCCACTTCTAGCAATCCCAACAGCCCCAAACAACAGCATGGCCGCGGATGTGGGAATCAGCAGAGAACCAACTCAACCCAGGAGCAGATTTAATGTTCTCGCGGACTAAAACATTAGTATCCCCCCAAAATCCCTCCAAACAAAAACCAAAACCAGATGAATCACTTGGTGGCATGGAGACCTCTGGCTAACTCCTTTAAAAGGCGCGCGGGGGCGCCTGGGTGGCGCAGTCGGTTAAGCGTCCGACTTCAGCCAGGTCACGATCTCGCGGTCCGTGAGTTCGAGCCCCGCGTCAGGCTCTGGGCTGATGGCTCGGAGCCTGGAGCCTGTTTCCGATTCTGTGTCTCCCTCTCTCTCTGCCCCTCCCCCGTTCATGCTCTGTCTCTCTCTGTCCCAAAAATAAATAAACGTTGAATAAAAAAAAAAAATTTTTAAAGGCGCGCGGCCCGCAGTCAGGGAGCACCAGGAGCACCAGGCGCAGGGGAGGCCACACGACCGGTCAAGTTCCGCCCCCTCATCAGCCAATGGCGCTCAGGAATCCGGCTGAGAGTAAACACCCTAAGGCTTCACCTTTCCAGACATTCCCTGGAGTTAGCTCCTTCCGGACCGCGCAGTCTAGAACCAAGGGCTCCTCCCGGAAGCCTCAGCCCAGACCCTGCAGTCACGTCTCAAGGCCCGGAACCCACTCCCAGCCAAACAAAAGATGCAGTCAGTCGATCCTTACCATATTTTTTTCTGATTTCATCATGTCTGGATTTCATTTCTGCTCTCCTAAAAAGACAAAGAAATCTTACTTAGCACCAAAATATAACACAATGTTAAATGATGTACCTTCAGCAGAGAGAGTGGGGGTCTGTCCTCTTTTCCAGGGAAGAGACCAGGGACCAGGGTGGGGACAAGCCCGGCCGCCAGGCCAGGCAGCGTGAGGCTGTTTCAGCATCACGTCCTTTGATTCTGAGTTTCAACAAAAGAAATTCAAATATCCAAGACTGTATTTTTTAAAAATATTTTTCACGTAGAGAAAAACCTGACGTCAGATTCTGAGGAAGGTTGGGAACACGCAAACGTTAGTTTTTACTTAGGGGCACACGACGTTGCGGGGACGGCACAAAAACCCGCCGGGCCTCAGCCCCCCGCCGGCAGCTGACCTGACGCGGCAGCGCCTCTCCGGGCCACCATCGCGTTCCGCGGGCAGGGACAGGAGACCCGCCTCCCTCGCCCTGTCCCACAACCCATAGGGGCGCACCCCACGGCGGGGGTCGTTTCCCAGGGCCACGCAGGCCGGGCTCCCGAGCCAACGGGGACCTCACCTCTCCTCCTGCCGGACCCTGCGCTCCTCGCGCTCCCGCGCGGCCTTCTCCTCTTCCTTATCCGGCTTCCGGCTCCTCTTCCTGCGGCAGCAGCAGGCGCAGCAGCACGCGGCCAAGGCCAGCAGCACGGCCCCCCCCACCACCGACAGGGTGATGATCAGCGCCTCGAAGTTCACTGCAAATCCCAGCGGGAGGGAGCCGGGGGTCAGGACGGGAGCGGGACCACCCCCTCCCCCACAGGCAGGCCGCAGCCCGTGCAGGGGCCCCTCCTAGGTCTCTCGGCCTGTTCGTGCGACTTAAGAACAGTTTACCGGCCAACCACACAGACCCAGGCCACAGGGTCCGAAGACGCTTCGAGCCTGACAGACGGTAACAAAGCGGGCCCGCCCTGAGGGACGCCTCCAGACGGAAGGGGAGCCCCGTGCAGCTCAGCTGATTATTTACATCCAAGTCCACGGCCCTACATGGCTGGCCCTTGAACACGGTTCACACTGCGTGGGTCCCCTAACACGTGCATCTTCAAGACCTACGGGGCAGAACTCAAGCGCACCTCCTCTCCCTGAGATCTCCTTACGAACACCTCCCCCACGTCGCTGCAAGGACACAGTGCGGAAGAACACAACACACAACACAGGTGCTCATCGGTTGCCTTCGTGATCGTAAGGCTTCCGTCAACAGATGATGCGTTACGTTTTCAGGGAATCGAAAGTTGTGCGCGGATTTTCGAGGACGTGTGTGTGGGGGGGGGGGGGTGGTCAGTGCCCCTCACGTGTACGTTGTTCAAGGGTCAAGTGCGCTGACTGCCCCCGGGGAGACCCTGTGAGCCCCGCGGGCCCAGCCCCTGCCCCACCCGGGGCTTGAGGACAGGCTGCTCAAGGATTTTGTCATTTCCTGTCAAGACCCAACTTCCGAAGCAAACAAGTAGTTAAAACAAGGTTCTCGATTCTTTCAACTTCTTTTAAGGATTTACAAACCCAAACCAGTCCCTATTTTTCTACTTAATTCAAACCAGAGAACTCGAGTTTTCACTCATCCACTTAAGTCAGCCCTGGAAGAGGCTTCAAGAGCAAACTCCCCCCCCCCCCCCCGATGGTGGAGCGTTCCTGGCACTGAAGTTAGAAAGTCTGGCCGCCACGCAGAGCTGGTCCCCTCGAGTCTCCCCCGTTTCCCGGTTTCCCGTTGGTGGCTGGGTGGGGCTTGCCAGGTGGGAGAGGGAGGCCGACCCCCAGTGCCCGGCGCCCTTCAGACCCCACTCAGGCCCGCACAGACCCTCACGTTCAATGCAGGCCGGCCACTGGCTTCACACACTCTCTGCGCTTTGTTCAACTACTTTCTTTTCTTTTTTACGTTTATTTACTTTTGAGACAGAAAGCGGGAGCGGGGGAGGGGCAGAGAGCAGGGGAGACAGAATCCCAAGGAGGTTCCGTACCACCAGCACAGAGCCCCACACAGGGCTCGAACCCACGAGCTGCGAGATCATGCCTTGAGCAGAAACCAAGAGTCACAGGCTCGACCGGTGGGGCCACCCAGGCGTCTCTGTTCAACTACTTTAAACAGAAACAGGTGTTGCATCGGAAATGCCTTCTGGGCTTTAGGTCGCGTGTTTTCTTCCCTCCTTTGACCTGTTCTGGAAGTGCCGGCATCACAAAAATTAGCAGGAACAGGTGTAAAAAGAAAAGACCTTTGCTGGCAGATGGCATCATCTTCTGACCAGAGAACTTCAAAGTAATGAGCTTTAAGAGCCAATCTGATCAGTAAGACAGCTGGTTCTGAAATATATCTACCCCCTCCCCCCACCTCCAAGACAGCATTTCTGACCAGCAGCTAAAACCAGTTACAAAATAAAAACAGACATGGGGCGCCTGGGTGGCGCAGTCGGTTGGGCGTCCGACTTCAGCCAGGTCACGATCTCGCGGTCCGTGAGTTCGAGCCCCGCGTCAGGCTCTGGGCTGATGGCTCGGAGCCTGGAGCCTGTTTCCGATTCTGTGTCTCCCTCTCTCTCTCTGCCCCTCCCCCGTTCATGCTCTGTCTCTCTCTGTCCCAAAAATAAATAAACGTTGAAAAAAAAAATTTAAAAAAACAAAATAAAAACAGACATCTGGTCGTGACGGAGGAAAGTACCAAGGACCCCTGTCCCCATCAGCCCTACGCGGGAAGGCTGTGGCGTGCTACTCGAGGACGGAAAGACGGCCTCCGTGCATGAACACCAACCCTGCTTCTGCACGACGGTTTAACATGGCAAAGATCTTATTTTCCCCCAAACGAACACAGATTTAAAGTCATCATAGGTAAAACCCCACAAGAATTCTGCCGAGACGTGGGTGAAAGAATTGTAAAGCACCCACAGCACGAGGTCTAGATCTGGTGCTCCCTGACATGTGGGGGCCCCCAGTCTCCCCAGATGGCATGAGCCCCACCCCACCCGCACTCTAGTCCCACAGAGAAGGTCCTCGGCCAAATAACCCTACCCAATCCTCTGCAGTGCATGCGGGGACCCACGGCGGTTCCCACTTATCCCCGATGGGCAAGTAGCAGGCTCCCGTGCCCCCCTGGCCCTCGGGGTCAATTAAACCAAGCACGTGCTCTCTCGGGAACCAGGGGCACGGCAGAGCCTGCCCCCCACGACCCCTGGCTAGTTCCTGTCCCCCTCCCACAGGCTGAGTCACCACGAACCGCAAACTGCTGTGGCCCGTTGTGGCTCTGTCTGTCCCAAGTCAGGGGTACGGCCAGCCCCACAGCCCTAAGGTGGGAATTTCATTTCACAGGCCAATGATCAAAAATGCCCCCACCTGAAAGGTGTTCAATATCATCAGTCATGAGCGAAGAGCAAATCAAAGCCACAATGAGATGCCACTTCAAACCCGCCAGATGGACGAAAATGAAGGTGACAGATTACCCCAGGCCCTGGCAGGGATGTGGGACAAGCGGGAGCCCCGGTCGCCTGAAGGAGCCCTTCTTGAAAGGCGATGAGTCCGCCATCCCGCTGCTCAGCATGTGCCCAGCGGGAGTGAGTGGGGGGCCGCCCACGAGCACCTCTGCAGCAGCACAGGGACCCCGGGCGTCCCCGGCAGCAGAGTGGGCACAGGGCGCCAAGCAGCAGCGAGACAGGCAGCCGGTACGTGTGGCGCACGAGTCTCAGACATGCCCCCGAACAGGGAGTCGGACAGACCAGCACGCTTACTTTAAGTGAAGGGCGGGCGGGCAGCACTCCCTGGGGTGGCAGGTCAGTGCACTGGCTGCCCACAGTCCCGACAGGGACAGGCTGTGAGTGCTGGGAATGGTCTACACGCTTTGCTGAGTGCAGATTACCTGTGGACTCGTGTGAAAATTCACTGAACGTACGTGTGTGTGCGTACATGTATGTGTTTACGTTACCCGAGGACAGGAAGGGAGACTTAACATGTGTGCGCATCATTAGAAGTTATGCTTCAACTTTAAAACACCTTGGGGGCACGTGGGTGGCTCAGTCAGTTAAGCGTCAATGGTTGATTTCAACTCAGGTCATGATCTCGCAGTCCATGAGTTCGAGCCCCGCGTCGGGCTCCATGCCGACCGCTTGGGAGCCTGGAGCCTGCTTCAGATTCTCTGTCTCCCTCTCTTTCCACCCCTCCCCAACTCATATGTGCGCATGCGTGTGCTCTCAAAAAATAAACGTTAAAAAGTTTTTTTTAAATAAACGCATAAACGTTAAACAAATCACCTTCTAAAGAAAATAGAAATAAAAGCACCTCAACAGTTCGTGCTCAAAATGCCAAGGGCTCCCTGGTCCAGGACTGGTCTCTGTGGGGTCTCAAAAAGGGTTAACGTCCCCCAAGAGAGAGCGCCTACAGAATCCACCACTCGCAGGCAGAAAGGGACAGAGAAACGTAGGGACCTGACCGTGCTGACCTAGCAGGACTCCAGGCACACAGACGCCAGCAAGACGCAGTCCCCAAGCTGACCCTCTTCCCTCCGCCTCGCAAGTGGGCCTCCGGCACCCCGGAGACCCCTGGCTACCCTCCCAGAAAGCACTCATTCTCACTGGCTTCCTGACTTCCTGCAGGGAGCACGTGTTCGGGCAGCTTATGCTAACTGAGCACACCCAGACTCCCCCAGACAGTACTGACTCTGCAAGAGTTCCGTGAACACGAAGACTTACCCCAGCAAACGCCCCAGCGTGCAGAGCTCAGCGTACAAAGGGAGCTGGGTGGCAGGATCCTGGTCACGGGGTAGTCCAAGCACGCCTTATTGGTATTGCACCAAAGGCACTGAAAGAGACGAATGTTTGCCAAACCCCAGAAACGCAGCGTAAACACCAAAGAACCAGACGGTCCAGGATACAAGCCCAGCCACACTGTCTGCTCCCCTCAGTGGCTGACCGGAAGGCCATGGTCCTCACCCCGCCACAGCAGCTCCACCCCGCCTTGCCCACCAGGGCCGATGTTACTCAAACCCTCTTCCTTCAGGCACCCTGCCCAGCCTCTCGGCCTCCGTGCAGTCCTGGAAGCCGCCTCCTCACTGTGCCCGGAACCTTCTTCTCCAAACGCACGCCCCTCAACCTCCTCCACAGGGCCTACCTGCCCCACCCCCCTACTTCCTTCCCTTCCCGACACACCGTCTCGGATCATCTGCAGGACAGGCGGGACCACGCTCATTACACGTTTGCTGGTGGACTTTTGCAACCTTGGCAATCGCCGTACAGAGATCCTACCTGTACCTGTGGTCTCTCCGACCGCACTGGCCGTTAAAGACAACGCAACTAAGGCTCAAAGCGTCCCTCCCAGGACCTGAGATTACTGCAGTGACATGCCCGCAGTGAGCCATCCAGGTGGCACTGACAGGGCACACACACAGTGTGCCCTCAGCCTCCCCTCTGGCCTCCCAGGCCCCTACCTGTCCTTCCAGAAACCCACGTGCGCCCGAGGACCCGTGTGGGCAGGCCTCCCGCAGCCCCTGCGCCCTGCATTTCTGACCGGACCCGTCTGCATCCAGAGCGGGCCCACACCTTCAGACTTACTGCCCGCCCGCCTGCTGAGATGGGGGTGCGTGTGCCCCCACAACGTCCTCCCACAGAAGGGCGGGCTGGACCGGACGATGCCGCGAAGTGCGTACTCCTGAAGCCAGAGCGAGGCAGGACACCAGGCTCCTTTGCGGCCGGGAGGACTTCGACAGTGACATCTGCCGCTAAAAAGCCGCGCCACCAGGAAAACGCGCAGACAGGTGAGCAAGTTCAGGGTTACCAACAGTAAGGTCTGAGGCTGCAGTAGCAACAGGCTTCAGTCTTTAACCAGCAAACACAAGGGTCCACTCAGACCCTACGACCCGACATGCTGCCAGGTGGTCAGCAAGTTCTCTTCTGAAAGCGTGGCCAGCATCCTAGGGCAGAAACCACCCGGCCCATCTGTCCTGACCTGCCTCGCAGGGTTCCCCGCTGCCAGAAAAGGGAGGACAGGCTGCGTGGCTCTAAACTATCCTCGTGGGGGCGCCTGGGTGGCGCAGTCGGTTAAGCGTCCGACTTCAGCCAGGTCACGATCTCGCGGTCCGTGAGTTCGAGCCCCGCGTCGGGCTCTGGGCTGATGGCTCAGAGCCTGGAGCCTGTTTCCGATTCTGTGTCTCCCTCTCTCTCTGCCCCTCCCCCGTTCATGCTCTGTCTCTCTCTGTCCCAAAGATAAATAAACGTTCAAAAACAAAGACAATTTTAAAAAATAAAAAAAAATAAACTATCCTCGTGAAACCCGACTGGAGGGAGCTTCCCCTACGGTCCCAGACAAAGGCGTCAAAGCCCAGGGACTGCTCGGGGAGCCACACGGGATGGGGCAGAGGGACACTGACGGGCCCCACACGGTGGCGAGCTTTCTCCGGCGTGCCCCTCTGCTGGTCCCCGACGGCCAGCCGCACACGTGCCTGTGTGTCAGATCCCAGGATGGTCCACCTGGAGGAGACCGCCCAGAGCACCGGGCCTGCTACGGGGCGGCTGCCCTCCTGCTCGAGGTCACGCAGGGTCAGCACGGGAGCATCCTGGCTCCCAGTCTTCCCGGTAATTCTGGTGAGTCAGTCTGAGCCCAGGACACCAGCCCCTCCGGGCTGAGGGCCCATATCTCTCCTTGCCCTCACCCTTCCCCGTTCCCAGGTGAAAAGCCCAGGGAGGAGCATCCACCCCAACCCAGGACAACTGATGGAGAACGCGGGACACACTGTGAGGACTGGGGGGCCCACGGTGCGTGGACGGCCCTCATTCCTGTGGGCAGGCCGGTTGGGGAAGCAGACTCCCCAGCCCTGGCTGAGCACCACAGCAGGAGGGGCCTCTGGGAACTCGCAGGACACTCCCGGCCCCATCTTGGGGTTCCATGTGCAAAACAGAGTCATGGTCCCCGTCCCCAACAGGCCTCTATGCTCTAGTGGCATCGACACGAAAGCACGGGCCACGGGTTCACAGTTGCAGATTAGGCGCTAAATGACGCCCAGCCCAGTGCCCATCCTTCTCCGTTCCCCTTGCCCTCCACTCCCCCATCCTGCTTCTGAACACCGCCCCCCCCCCAAGCCCACCAGCCTCAATGAGGCCTCCTGCCCACTCACACGTGTTCCCAGCCGTGGGGCCCAACCCAGTTTATAAGCCCAGACACCTGGTCAGGAGGTAAGCATGTGTGTTAATGACGCTCAGGTGGTATCTGCAGTTCTCACGAGAAGGTTCACTACTCCTGAGAAAGACTAAAATGGCATTCGACACCCATTACGGAAACTATCTCCACAAACCCCAGACGGCAGAACCTTTAACACCCACAAGACCCCCCCCCACCCCGTCGTGGAGAGTGGGGTGTCTACTTACAGAGACGTTTTTCAGGCACTCCTCACAGCTCCTGTTTGTGTTCTGAGAACAAGCTGCGGGGAAAGGACAAACAGGTCACTAAGAACCGCTCACTGGAAACACCGGCCCAGGCGGCCAGGGAGGCACGCAGTCTGCGCTCTGAACCACGGAGACGAGCAGCCAGCCTCCCAGGTGCAACAGCGGGAGTTTCCCAGCCTTGCTGCAGGCCGGCCACCAGGGAGCGTGCACACGCAGCCCCAGGGTCCCATTTGCAAGGGGTCGTGCGGAGAAAGGGGCCTCGGGGCACAACGGCAGTACCTTCGGGGAAGAGGAGCGGAAGTGGGTGCGTAGCACGCACCCAACTGGCCCAGGCCCGCTGGCTCATCGGCACAGTCTCTGGAACCAAAGGCCACGGCAATGCCAGGCCCATGGGACTAAAGCCAGGCCTCGGTCCCCGCCAGTCCCGCCCAGACCTGAGGGAGAAGCCCCCCCGGAATCCGCCCGCTCCAGCCGCTCTTCACGGCAGGGAGGGATCACACCCCACCCAGCCAACAGCCCCGGAACTCGCAGCCGGGGGAAAAATGTCCAAACCCTCTCAAGCAGCTGCCGTCTTCCGCACCCACAGCTGAGCGCACACGCTTACTCCGAAGAGAGGTCCGTGCCACCCCGTGAGCCACCGGAACCGCACCCCACAGTCGTAAGGAGCGACCACTTTGCAGGCACCAGGGAAGCTGAGATTAGAAGGGCTGACGGGGCCAAGTCCGCGGAGGCGGAGCACAAGGGGACTGTAGGCCGCGGCGGCGGGAGGCGAGGTGGCTCGACCTCAGCCACGCACCCAAGCGCTTCGCTCAAGACACTGGGAACACGTGCCCACTTTACGGTGCCAGGGAAGCCGACGACGGCCAGATGCGCGCGTACAGAAGGTGGGCACACCAGTGGCGACGGAACGGCGCTCGGCCACGAGGAGTGTGCCGCGCGCACGGAACACGGAGCCTGCACCACGTCACGTGGACCAACGGACACCGGACACGGACGACCACCCGCCGGATTCCACGGGCGTGCGGTTCTGAAGCCGGCAAACTCATCTGCACCGGGAAAGGGACGGCGGCGGCCTGAACCTTCCAGAGAGATGGGCGCGTGCTGGAGCGTGACGGGGGTCACGTGGGCGTCACTTACCCAACGGCACACGTAAGACTCCCGTGTTCGCCGCACGGAAGATCTGTCTCCAAAGGAAAAGACAAACGTGAAGCTCCAGGTCACGACGCGCGCGGGGAGGTACCGGGACGAGCGCAGGATGTCTGCCGTGGGCTTCGCCGAGCTTACCAGAGGGTCCGGGACGGGCCCCACGACGGAGGAGACCCAGCCAGACGTGAACAGCCGACACCCACGTGGCGGGCGTGCAAGGGAGCGCTCGCCGTCGGGTCTTCCCACTCTCCCGCGCATGGTGTGAATGCGCTCGTGACGCGTGACCCCGTCCGCCCAGGGGAGGAGCTCCCGTTTCAGTCACACGCGTGCTCATGACGTCCGCGAAGCGGGACTCTCAGGCGCGTGAAGCCTAACCCTTCCACCTTCCATGTGCTAAGCACGACCCCACTTTGTTTAAAATGAAAGCCCACTTGTCACGGGCCATCCCACGGCCGTCTTTCCGCTGGCACGCCATTGGCTTTACCCTAAAGCTGACTTCCAACTACTGTCCTCAGAACGACAGACTCAGGGCGCCCGGATGGCTCAATCGACCGAGCACCTGACTCGCGATTTTTGCTCAGGTCACGATCCCAGGGCCGTGGGATCGAGCCTCACTTTGGGCGTGCTGTGTGTGGAACCTGCTCGGGATTCTCTCTCTGTCTCTCCCCATCTCTCTCGTGTGCTATCAAATACAAAATAATTTAAAAAAAAATAAAAAAAAAAAAGAACAGACATAACTTAGCTCCACGGAGGTAAAGAAACAGACAAGTCACAGAACACCTCGATCTCTGCCAGCACCACTCCGAGGCGGGGTCGCAGAGGCGCCAGGACAGGGACAGGAACAGCACCGCCTGTCTCAGAAACCCCGTGCCCTGGAGCCGGGAGGCGGGCCGGCTGTGCCAGGGCCGGGGACTCGGCCGCCACATCCAAGCACTCCCTCTGTCCGTCCACCAAAGGGCCAGGCAGCGGGGGGGGGCCTCAGTGTCTAGACACAGTTCCCCAGGAAGGGGGCCAGGGCTCCTCGGAGAAGCAGCTGATCCCAGAAGTGGGGCACAGAGAGGACAGAATCAGCCCTGGACAGACTGTGGCATCACAAAGTGGCACCAACTTAGGAGCGGATAACAAAATACCTAAAGGACCCAAAGGCCGGCTTGAAGGCCGGTGGGGGGGGGGGGGGGGCCCGGGGGGCGGGAGTCCTCCTTGCCAAACAGGGACAATTTAAAATCAAAGGGATTGACAGCCACGGACCTCAGCCTCTTGAACACTCCAGGATTTCACCCGGACGTGGAGTAAGTACGGAGAAGGCCAACTAGCAGAAGCAGAAGCAGGGGGTTTGAACGCCTGCGGTTCTGCCATCATCGTGGGAAATCTGGACGCCAAGACCACCGCGCGCGCTTGTGAGGTGACAAGACACTTACGGTCTCAGAGCGCCTCCCCAGTTTCATCGCTTATGAAGACAAAGTGCACCTTACAAGCGCCCAGAGTATCGGCAGTACGATGACAGGACGACGGGACACAGTGGCAGCAGGCGCCCCCGGGGGTGCAGGGGGAAGGACACAGCCACGTGTGGTGGAGTCTGTCAAAGGCACTGGAATCCAAGTAGAGGACACCAGGCAAGGCCAACTGGGGCTCCTTCTACAGAGTCGTTTTCTGGGAACAGACTGGGGAGCAGTGCTGGGTGGGTGGGGAGACATGGTGGCCAGAAGCCCCACACGGTCCTGGACGCGGGCAGGGGACGGAATGACACTACTGGGATGACGGGTACACCGGGTACACACACGCCCTACGTTACATCTCCAAGTACTCACGAGTCCTGTCGATGCCAACTGAATGATTTTGACCCTCATAGTCCCATGACGCACAGGAGGCCCACCGCAGAGAATGAGGGGCGAGGGGGGAAGGGGGAGGGCCGCAGGACGACGGACCCTGACGGACCCTCGGGCGGTCTGGAGGGGGGAGAACAAGCAGACGCGGAGGGAGCGCAAGGCAAGCACGGAAATGCTGACAACAGAAAGGCATGCGGAGTTTGCTGTGCGATTTATTCCTTCAAGGTTTCGGCAGCTTCGATCTTTTCTAAACAGGCAGGCAGGGAGCCACCGTGAAAATCTGCACGACTGCCTGTCACGCCCACTCAAGTCCTTTTTTCTTTCCTTTAGCGAGAGCAAAGCACGCGCGCAGGAGAGGGGCAGAGAGGGAGAGAGAGAATTCCACGCAGGCTCCGTGCTCGGCGGGGAGCCCCACGCAGGGCTCCCCAACTCACGACCCTGGGGATCACGACCCGAGCAGAAATCAAGTGGGACGCTCAACGGACCGAGCCACCCAGGCGCCCCTCAAGTCCTTGTCAAAAAATTTTACGAGAAAAGACGTACCTCTCGTCAATCTTAATCGAGTGGCCACAGGGAGCAGGGGGGTCGGGTACGGGAACTTTGTCGCGGGAATGTTTTTTCTATTTTCGTTTGTAAAGTCTTTTTGAGAGCTGGACTCATGTGAACTACACCCCGAGATACACACCGTAAACCTCACCCATCCCACGGTGTTGGGACCACAGACCCGTAGGAGTCGACGGAGACCAGCCCTCCGCCTGCCCCCGCCACGACCACCAACCGGGCAGACGTTCAACACGAGCAGAGACACCTACACTGGACAGTCTCCCCGAAAGAGCCGGCACCGGGAAAAGATCGTTCTGTTCTCTCTCTTACGAAACACCTCACCGTCTTGCATGGCTGGCAAGGAAAATACCCCACTTGCCGCTGCGGACGGCGGGGGTTGAACTTCTCGGTCACGGGACACAGACCGCGTGCTGATGGCCGCAGACCAGCACCACGGCCTCCTGCTTCCGGAGTCCAGCGCTGTGTGTGAACACGCCCGTTCCACGAGTCCCCCACTGAGTCGGTTTACCAACGATTAGAAACCCTCGGGCGTCACTCACTCTGATAAAAAGGTCTTTCTGTCAGGATACGCTAACCCATGGCCCGGTTTCACGTACTTCCCTAAAGTTCCGGGTGAGGCCACCGATTACATACACAAAGGCACACACTAGCAGGGGTGTGACGAGATCTGTCCTGTAAACATAAAGAAACGAGCGAGTACGCATTTACTGAGCCCGCGTCACACACAGGCAGGAGGGCGGCACCTGGCCGGCCCCCGGCACAACAATCCCCTCATCGGACACTGTGCCCCCTCTGCACGGCGACAGAGAGCACCTATGCCATCCGTGTCACTTGAGAATCAGGGGTGGAAAAGTCATTTAGACGAAAGTCCTGGTCACCTTCCTGTCCCAACAGAGAAGAGCTGAGCGGCATGGTACACGTCTTCCTCAACCTATGATGGGGTTTCGTCCCCAGAAACCCATTCAAAGGGGGAAATATCCTATCAAAACTCCGTGTAATTCCCTGGTCTCTCTCGAAACCCTACAACACTTCCGTTAGCCTGCGGACGGGCACAGCCGCCTGGCCCACAGCCTGTTTTACAAGGAGGGTGGACGTCTCGAGTAGTTGACCGAATACCGTACTGAAGTGACAGGCAGACCGTGTGGGCCCAGAACGGTCATCGGTGTGCGGGGACCGCGTGGCCGCCCAGCCCCGGGGTGACACGGCGTGTGGAAACTCCAGGCACCGTGTTTACTGAACGCACATCCTTTGGCACCGCTTACAGTCGAAAATCCTAAGCCGAACCCTTGTAAGTTGGGCACCGTCTGAACATACAAATAACATGCACCACACGTATACACACTGGAAGGCCCTTACAACTGGTTTCAAACGCCGTGGTTCTCGGCGAGAGATGGGCAGGTGAGGAAGCGCGTCCCCCCCCAGTCCTGTGCCGTTCGCAAGGAGCAGTCAGGGTGGGCTCCCACCCCCGACCTGCACAGGCCACGGCTGAGCTCCTTTGTATCCTTCAAGCGCTCCGAGGTACGGAGGAGTCGTGGGGATGGAGTCTCACCCCCCACACGAGGTGGGCTCCACAGGGCCATGGAGGCTCCTGTAAATTTAGGAGTTTCGCTCTAAAGACCTTCAGAGCATCCTGGGTCCCTAACGTCTCCATGCCGCCAAACACACAGTGGGACGTTAGGAACTGTCAGCGTGGGACCGCTGTGACGCATTCGGTGAATCTGCACGCCTGTCGTGGTTGACTTACGTGTCACCTTGACGGGGCTCAGGTGCCCAGACAGCTGGCAGACATTTCTGGGTGTGTCTGGGCGGGTGTTTCAGAGGAGATTGGCATTCGAATCGGCTGGCTCAATAGTGAAGACCGTCCTCACCGTGGCCAGTGGGCAGCACCCAGCCCACAGAGGGGCCCCCACAGAACAAAAGCAGAGCCACCGTGAATTTACTCTTTCTGCCGAAGCTGGGACAACCACTTTCTCCTGCCCTCAGACACCGGGGCTCCCGGTTCCCGGGCCCTCCGACATGGAGGAACCCGGGCAGCCTCCCCGGGGCTCCGACTTGCAGACACAGGTCCCGGGACCTCCCAGCCTCCACAGCCACGCGAGCCCACCCCTCACGACACATCCTTCCCCACAGCTGCAGACCCCCTGCCGGCTGTTTCTCCGAAGCGCCCTGATAGCCTCGCAGGGGGACCAGTGATGTGAACGCCACAGTCACATCCTACAGGGCGACGGGCGGTAAGCAGCGCGTGCTCTGGGGAAGGGGGGACCTCAGCGCCCCAAAAGTGCCCCCGTCCGAGGAAAGGCAAACGAGACCCGAGGGTACCTGAGTGGGAAACCCTCCCGGCACACCGCTCCTCCTGCGTGAAGGAGTTGCTGCAGGAGAAACAAGAGTCCGCCACCTTCCCCCGAGGACCCAAGGACCGGAGGACCCGGGGCGAGTCCACGGGACGAGTAACCACCGTGAGCTCAAGGGCGGAGGGGCGGCTGAACCGACAGTAAGTGCAGTGCCACGTGGCAACCGTTCTGATCTAATTCCCTAATTAAAAAACTAATGAAAGTCACCAAGGACACCGCCACTCATCTCAGCACGCCAGGGCAGTTAAAAAGCAGAGCGG